TCTCCCTTTTTCTCAGAAATATCTTTATTTAGCTAGTATTTCACTAAAGAACCTGGTTATTGGAATGGAACTCAGTCACTAAGCAAAAAATGTGTGTATATAGATGCTGTCCTAAATACAAATTTAAAAGTTGTTCTACAAAAAAAATTTCCAGGAGTGCTAAATTTTCCATTATTGCATAATTCTCGATTTAGTTCTTTTCCACCAGAGTTAACTTAATTCTGAAAACTAAATATAAAAGTAGCAAACCAAACTTTTATATTACTGAACTATACAACAGATTTCTTAATTCAGTTTTCTTAGGGAAATGTTTCCACATATTATAAGTACTGTGAATTATCTCTGGACCACAGTAGGATAGCGTCCCTTCAGTCAGGAATGCAACACTAGAAAAAATCTTACATCTTTTCAACTCTTAATTTAGGAAAAGCATTGTTATTAAAATGTATGTGCCAATTAACTTCCAGCGACTCTGGGCCCTTTACAAATGATTTAAGACATAAAAACAAAAAGAAACAAAAACAATACAGATGGCAGAAGAACAAACTAGGTGGAAGCAAATGAAACAACCTTAATTAAAAGGAGGCCTCAGTCATTCTCACCAAAGGCTTAAGTGAACAGTCAGGTCGACAAACAAGGTTTCATTGTAAGTAATTATAGAGAGGAGTTTGGCTTTAAACCTTGAAGGAAAGAAAGAACTAGTCCATGCTCTGCTTATTTTGGAGATACTTTAAAAAGCTCATATAGCCCATTTGTCCTCGAAAAAATTGAAATGGGAAATCATAAGAGACATAAACTGGATCCCAAAGGCTCATTCCACCAAATATTAAGAGCGGCCACTTCGCAATGGGAAAATGGCTGCAGGTAACCAGAAATCTTTGACTAACTATTAAGAAGTTACAGAACTGTAGACTTCTAAGGGAAGAATAGAGAGCTAAGACATCTCCAATAGCTAAGATTCAGACATTTCTAAATCAGCAGACACAACATCTCTGGCCAAGACTAAAGGACCAACAAGTACATTGGTCCCACAGAACCACAGGAGAGAACAGATCACTTACTTGTGCTCTGGACAGCTGCTCCTCACAGACAGACAGCAGGACATCAATTTCCAACAAATTTGAGTGCTAGGAAACGAAAGGAAGCAAACATGCTTTCAACTGTGTGCCTTTTAAAGGATACTGGGTTCACTAACCTCACTTTCAAACCATTTTGGAATCTAACGATTTTAAAGCTCACAGAAAACTTCAAAATGACAAGTTTGAAAAGCTACCTGTAAATTTAACTTTACTCTTCAATAAAATATAAATTAATGTTTAAGAATGTAAAGAATTGGAAATAAATGTCAAAAATCTAAGTAAGATTTTGATCTAAGAAAGTTATAAATGAATTAAAATACGACAAATTTGAATTATTAGAACTCTTGCTATAAAATTTTGGAAACAATAAACACACAACACCATACAAACAGTGGGAACTAAATTGCTTAGTCTATCCTAACAAAAATTAATGACTATGATTTCAGAAATTGGAACTAAAGATTCCTGGCTGAAAGAAAAAAATGTGATGAAAAGTCTGTCTTGTGTTTTTGCAAACTGACAGAAAATGCTATGATATTTGAAATACTCCAGGAGATCTTTGAAGATGGAGTTAGAAAATAGCAATTACAATGTTAGCAATAATGCAGGCTTCTATGGATAGACTATTTCCAAAAAAAGATGTTAAAAAAGATATGGCAGAAGTAAAAGAGACACAAACAGTAAAACATCTTGGGAAAAAAGAGATGAAATAAATTTTAGGGGGAAAAAGTTTCATGATAAAGAACTGAAATGTTTTCCTGTTGCAGAAAAATCAGAACATAAGGAAATTGAAGAAATACTTTAAAAATATGGCTTAGAAGACAGAGAAGATAAAGTGGAAATACAAATGACAAGTCAAGAGAATGACCTAGATAAGAACTTCTTACTACTTGTAAAAAAATTGGTTAACGAAGAAACCTTTGAGATGGGAAAAAGAAAAACTGAAGAGAGATTCTATGACAATATTTGAATGAATTAAAGATTAAGATTGGAGGAAAAGGAAATAATATAAAATTGGTTTGTTGAACAACATTAAAATGGCATATTTGTATACCTGGAACTTTTTGCATCTGGATTTGCGTAAGGAGAAGGAATGGGTTATGGGAAGAAGAAATACTTATTGCAAATATTGTTACCATATAGAGGATGAAGAATTATTAATTCTGCTTGTTCTGATGAAGATCAGAAGTCACTTCTTTAAATATTTCCTTTTGTCTTTTTCTTATTTTCTTTTCCCTCTTTACACATTTTTTTTCTTTATTCCTTCTTTTTCTGAGTTTACTTTGTATTTTCTTTTACCAGTTATTAGAATATTTGATAAAAACTATTTAAAAAAGTAAAAGTGTTTGATTTTTTTGTTAAGGAACAGAGCAACAGGACACAATATTTACATTTTCTATGTTAAATATGTGTTGTGTATTTTTTCATATCTCAGAAAGAATTCTCAAAAAAGAATATAAAGATATTATCCTCAAGTTGTAGAAATATTATTTTTCACGTATTTGTTCTACAGCAATTATATAGAGTCCTTAGTCATATTACGCAAGATTGTGATTAAGAACACTCTGAAAAATACCAGGAGGTGTAGTACAGTACTTATAACTGAGAACTAAAATATAAATAGGAACAAAAGGGAAATAAAAAACCATGTTATTCTTTACCAATATCAATAAAAAGTAATATAAAATCCACATTCTACTTTTTTATTACTAAAAAACAACCAAAATAAGTATCAAAAATTATTTTGCTAAGCCAAAATTCTGTTATAGTGCATTTGAATATCCAGCAAGTAATATTTCTATTCCACTCCAATCTGTTTTGTTGTTGTTTTAGGGCTCTTCCTCAAACTTACAGAAATAACAACAAAATTGACGGATGTAATTGCTTGCAGAAGACTAAAAGGCTTAACCTTTAATTACTTCAGCACAATATCCAGGATGTTAAGACAGTGCAACAACCCAACTTCAATCATGCAGCTGTTCAGGGCAAAACTTTATTGTATAACTCAGAACTATATTTTAAGAGGAGAGGAACAACTTTTAAGGAAAGTTTATAGTTTGTTGTACAATTACAACACTAATTTCCCATTTACAATTATCTGGTCCATACTGTTGAGTTGACATAATGCTGCAATCAGGAAACCATTAACTCAAATATGAGCTAATCTTCAATACCACAGCATAGACTGACAGAAATCTAAGTTCCAGTTTTAAGGAATACACCCATGTTTCTATAGAATACAAGATAAGGAACAAGAAAGCAATAAGAGTGTTTAATAAAAAAAGTCATCTACAATTAGGATACAATTATAAGATTGAAAAGCCAATGATTTACATAGCTTGATCATTTTACAGCCGCACAAATGCAAATGACCCAGCAAAACTTGATAAAAACATATTTAAGGTTTATTCTTTTAAGCAAAATATTCAGATATAACCAGCCTGTATTTATTCTCTTAAACCCAGAAAGCATAACAAATACTCTGGGATTAGCAGCTTTTAATGTAAGGATATAGGAACATCAGATTATTTGATCCATTATAGTACACACACACATACACAGATATTTCAAAATATCTTTGTTAACACAAATGTAAACTGAAAACTGTGTTTCAAAGTAGATATTATTTAGGGTAATCCAGAATGATTGATACATTAATTTTTAATTTTACTGTAGAAAGCATGTAATATTTTTATCTTTTATTGAGACCAGCAGAGAAAATTATATAATTTATCAGTTTATGTAGTATTTTGAAAGTAAATCTAATCTGCTGCATAAACAAAAATTAGCCTCATCACAATCACTATATTAACATTAAACATAAGATTTCCACATAGAACATTTACACATTCATTTAAATTATTTAAAACAAATATCTATGTACACAAGATATAGACGAACATGATATATTTATATAATCTGCTGAATTTCCTCACAATATTTGGTTTCCTGCTTCTAAACCCAAGTTAAACGCATCTGAGTTGTTACAGCAAAGTAAAGTAAGGAGTGATATGTATACTCAGAAAATATTTAAATCAACTAATTAATGATTACACAATACAAATACTGAATCAAGTTATAAAATCATATTGTGCACAAATATGAATCACGTAAACCCTGATTACGGTTCCAAGGGCCTATAATTGACAATCAGGAAAGGCAGCTGTGGGAATTCTCTTATTATATATAATAAACTCATCCAATAATGATAATTATTGAATAATTAAAATTCATAGATATAATCCAAGTATGTGTTTCATATGTTTATAAAAAATTGAAAGGCTTTGAAATATAATCTGAAGTGTAAGAGGAATTTCAAGATATATTGATTAGACTAAAATAAATTTTATATCAGGAAACATTAAACAGCGTTTCCCTACTCAGAAGCAGCGCGACTTGGAGACAGGGAAGATGTTTATCCTATGTAAATTATGCAAACATATTAGTTGGAAAACTGCAGCTCTTTCTTAAGTTATATTAGCCGTATGAATTTGTGTCTGCATTGCTGTAGATATCAAAGAATGCCGATCGGTTTCGTCATTAGGGCAAAAGCGCCGAATGCTAGTGAATTTTGGGAGTCCCCCTTTCCCCTTACACGATTCTGCTTTAGCAATTCCGTACTTTTCTACTCTAAGCTCCAATCACCCATTCCAAGAAACCCAACACTCTTCTCAAACTGCGCTCCCATCTGCTGTTTTGGCCCAGGCAAGAGGAGGAGTCGGAGAAATAATCCAAACAGCTAATCGCGCTTTCGGTGCCCCCGGACCTTGTAGGGGCAAGAAAAGATTATGGGGACACGTGCGCAAGGGAATCTGGTCGCAAACTCGACTATTTGCTCTGCCTCGTAGTGCCAAAACCAGCCTCTCTCTCCCCTCCCCGCACATACTTTTGGTTCCCGCCTCTCCCAACTTTTCCACTCACTCTTGGTGGCGGCGATCAGCGTCTTGCCATCCTTGAGCAGTTCTTTGATGAATTTGTTGGTTTTCTCCAGCTCCGCTTCATGAGCTCGTATCCTTTCCCGGAACCAAGGGTTGTCCAGGTAGCAATCGCTGAACTCCAAAGGCTGCAGTCCCATGGCTGCTGAGGCGGCGGCAGGGCTAGACCAAAATACTTCAGTCTATCTAATCCTTCTCCGAGAGGCTGCAGAAGCACGCCCGCCTTCTCAAGACCAGAACCGGTCCCTACAGCGCCTCACCAGGGCAAAGCCGACAGCCGCCGAGGACTATCCCAGCCTCTGTAAAAGAACCGCGGGAGAAACGGAGGGCTTTGGCGGCGGCGCCGAGCAACGCCACAGGAAGGAGACTGGCAGGGAAGAAGTTGGTCATTGAAAAATCCGCCACCAACTCCACGCACCCTTGGACCGCCTCGGGTGCTCCGCTGGAAGTCGAGGCAGAAGCTGGGCTGCTCTAAAGGAGCTCCGCGGACTGGCTGGAAGAGGAGGCTAAGGCGGCCCGCATCTGCATTCCCTCCTTCAGTCCCGCCTCCTTCCCAGGCTGAGTCTCCATTCCTGGCCTTCCCGCCTCCGGTTTTTCCAAGTTTTTCCAATCCGACGCAGAGGTTTTTCTCGCTCGGCTCCTCCCTTCGGCCGTCCGGGTCTTGCCGCTCTCACGCTCCTCAGGGTGAAGGAGGAGGTCTCCCTTGGGCCTGCAATAGGGCGTCAGCTTCAATCGCTGCTTTGGACTCCGCGGTCTCCAACTCGCTGCTTGGGACGGTTTAGAATAATCCGCAGCCATAATAAAAGGATCTCGACCAGCGGCGGTAGTGGCCGTTGGGCTGCAGTTCTTCTGGCTGCAGACCAGTGCGATAACATGTAACGTTTGTGTCTGTGTGGTTACCAAAACACTGCCCGTAAAGTGAGGGTTGTTTCTGAATAAATGAATTTAAAACCTTCCTCCTCCTCCCCCCGTTACACTGAATAAAATCAACTTTCCGAATCTTGATCTTTAAAGCAAACTCTCGCAACTGGTGGGTTTCCCCGTAACTCCACAATTTTAATTCATCCTGGAAAGCTCTGGTACATCCTAACTCGGGAGTAAGTCCCTTGCACTCAGGGCTGACTTCTAGGCGTGCATGAGTATGCGTATGTGTACGAATCTACTGAGAAATAAGCCTTAAGTAAATAGGGATCGATGCACGTACAACCACACTGTGAAAAGCGGGAGAGGCACTAAGACCTGAACATTGTTTGTCTAAACTCGGAGGGGAGGGCGGTGATGACGACAGGCGCCGCGAGGCCACGCAGCATATGGCGCCGCCCTTTTCCCCTACCTCAGAGAGGCCTCCACTGGCGGCTTGTCAACGGCGGTCTCTTTCTTTGAGCTCCGCTTTCGCCTTTCCTCAACACTCAGCGCGGAGGGGCCTGAAGCGGAAAATGTGCGTGTGAAAGTCATGGCTGCGTCCTGATTCCTCCTCTCCCGGGACTCTTTCCCTTTGAGAACCTGCCTCTGTTGTCTGAGGAAGCTCTGGCGAGTGCGGGTGATTCGAAAACGTTATTCTGGCTGCCATAAACGCGCGTATGCCTAACAGGAGAGAGGGTCTTCAGCGCGGCGTGGTTTTGTAAGTGAGAAGCCGGAGGTCCGCTTCCTCTTCGCCTGCCCTTGAAAGTGATTTTAAGAGGTTCGCCTTAAAAAAAAGTTTTAAAAGGTTAAGTAAGATTCCATGTCGTTCGTTTTTGCATGGGGAGAGCAATTTGTGTGAGAGGACCTTCAAGACTAGCATTTCTGAATAAATAAATATTAGTAAATAGATTTACCAAAAGATAATTGCTGCTCTCGAGTTACTACGTGGCCTCTTCACAAGGGATATTGGCGCAAAAGTTGTTGTTTTAGTAACCACACAAACACAAACTTTACATGTTATTGCGCTAGTATTGGTTAGGTTTATATTCTGCCTTTCCTAGAGGAGTTCTATACTCCCAAACCTTTTTCTCTCAGTAGCCTTTTTTACTTTTAAATTGTATATAGGACATCAAAAGAGCTTTTGTTGTATGGGTTGACATTAAGGTATTGATATTAACTTTTAAAGTTTTAAATTATGCAAAGTTTGGGACCACGTTTCATGTAATTCCATCAATTTGTTAATATCTATGGAGCATGTCTTATTTATTTACAAGTAAGGGCAGATTGATTGCTCGTGGGAAAAATACAATTATGCTATTTCTTCCTATAGATTTACTCAAATCCTTTAGCAGTATGTCTCAAAAGCCATGTTTTAGTAATAGGTTAGCCATAATACCACTGAGTGTTATGTAACTCTTTTTCAATAATGTTCTGTACCAGTAGAATTTTATATTCCACCTTAATGGAATTTATTGTTTCATGATATCCATTTTCCTAAGTTGTGTGCTGAGTAGACAGCTATATAAGTTAAACACATAAAATGTTTGTTTAGTAGGGCTCTATACATACCGGTATTTTAAATAAGCATTTAGTTATTGCAGTTGAACATACCCGAGGTGGCGCAGCAGTTAGAGTGCAGTACTGCAGGCCACTTTAGCTGACTGTGTTCAGCAGGTCAGTGGTTCAAATCTCACCGGCTCAAGGTTGACTCAGCCTTCCATCCTTCCGGGGTAGGTAAAATGAGGACCCAGATTGTTGGGGGCAATGTAAATATATATATACATTGCTTACTGGTGTACCCCGCTTAGAGAGTGCTTGCACTTAAAACGGTATATAAGTCTCATAAATAAATAAATAAATACCAGTATTTCTTTATCTATTGTGTATGTAACTGGGTTTACCCTAATTACATAATCTAATCACTTCACTTCTTTGGTCAGTCTTGGGTATTTTTCAGAGAATCCTGAAACTCCTTGAACATATTTTCTGTTCTTTGAATCTATTTTGTAAAAATGAGGGCACATAATTTGATGCAGCTAATAGCAGTAGAGTTTAGAATTAATTTGCTTAAAGAATAACATTTTAAGTAGAAAAGCTGGACCATTGATTTAGAGCTGCAAGCAGATTTTTCCAGCAACATCCACAAACATCTTGAACTACTGTGCACATCTTCTCCAATGGGCTAGATATCTCAATGGCATAACAATTCCAAAATTCAGAAGGGCGTTATTCTTAGGCAGATTCAATACCCTCCCGAAAGCTGTTATTGAAGGAAAATACCCAAAAACTCTTCTTCCAATGGAGACTGTCTGTGTGGTGGGGGACTAATTGAACTAATGGAACATGTTACCCTGTATTGCCTTTTCTCTGTAGGTGCTCGCCCTAAATATCCTGGTCATTCAGATTTGTTTTATCTCAAGATCTTATTATTGGATCAATCTGATATTATTTCCATGAGCACAGCCAAGTACTGTTTCATAATCTGTACAGTACCTCCTAGTTTTAACTCTTTTTTTCCTTTTGTCTTAATTGTGACTCTTGTGTTTTATCTGCTGGTCTATGACAGAATAATGATTGATTAGATTTGATAGAAAAGCTCACAATGAAAGTATATTGAATATGAATTAAAATTCTAGCTATGTGTAAAACCACTCATTCAGTGACCATTCGTAGTTGCCATAGCCTAAATGAGTGGTACTTATAGCTGGTTCTCAAAGTTCTGGCCATTACACCACACCTATGTCAGGCACTTGGCAACCACCTTGCACTTGTGAGAGTTAGGGTGCCCTGACGTTTTGTGATTGATATTTGTAATGTTCTGCTCTGGCTTTACATAACTAAAGTCAAAGCCAATGAGCAAATAGAGGCCAGGGGGGGCCAGCGCCACACTCTCTCTCCCCAGGCTACTCTTCACTCACATGGCACTGACCTTGTTTCTAACTTCTTCACTCACGCCCAGCCTGAATGGGACTTCCAGGGCCTCCCCCATCCTCTGAGCACCCCCCACAGTCCTTACCTGGAACGGCTTCCCACTTAAACCTACATCTTGGGGTTATAGTGGCAACTGTGATTGTCATCACATAATGTCTTCATGTGACATCACACTTTATGACCTCATTGCTTAACAACAGCAGTCTTCATCCCAGTTGCCATAATAAACCATGGACTATTTGTACTACAAATCAGTTGTTGGATTATTTTCATTCAATACTGCTAGCCAGACTAAATAAGATAATATGCATCTTTCTTACTTGTGTATGATGTTCTAAAGACAGCCTGCTGTCTTTAAAAAAAACTCACAGCATTCCAGTTTTAATATAAGGTTTGACTTATAGAGTGCATTCTTGCCTTTACAAAAATAAGAATCATGCTATATTTTGAGTCCTCCACATTCCTTTTGTTGGGAACAGAATGATAGTAATGTTCAAAATAGTACAAATTAACTTATGGATCGTATTTTATAAATAATTGCAATGGGGACAACAATAATTTAATTTTTTAATTGTAATAAAATAATAGAATTTGTCCACAATCCTAGAATAAATGCTTTATCTTTGCAGGACAAAGTGGAGTTGCTTTTAATTAAAAATGCCTAACAGTAAAAGCAAATCTCGGCATAGACACAAAGTTAGTCAAGAAACTGGCCGGCGTGAATTAGTCTCCAGATCCTTGCAAAGTGCTCAACATTGTCTGGAGGATCGTGACTTTGGAACTGCATATGCTCACTATCTCTTGGTATTAAACATAGCTCCTGAATTTAAAAATGATGTCAAGGTGAGAAATTTTCTGCTTATTTTTCCCCTGTCCTAAATAAATGTGTGAACCACATGTATACTACACTGAACATTGTGTATAATTTATTTATTCATTATTTATTTAGAAAATTTATATAGCCACCTATATAGCCTCTTACAAACAGAAAAAAATAAAAAAGAAACAATTAAAAATTAAAAAACAATATGCTTCCCCACTGTAGATGTGACCGGCAAGACCAGTCCCTCAGATAACCTGGTCCCAAGCCATGAAGGGCTTTAAGGACAATCAGCACCTTGAATTGCTCCCAGAAGCAAATTGGCAACTAGTGCAGCTCCCGTTGGAGAGGTGACACTTGCACACCGAGGTCTGAATAAAACCATACAGGCCGCTGCATTTTGAACCAACTGGAACTTCCGGATGCTTTTCAGGGGCAGCCCCATGTAGAGTGCATTGCAATAGTCAAGATGGGAGGTGACTAGGGCATGAGTGAATGTGGGTAGGGATTGTCGATTCAGGAAGGGCGTAACTGGTTCACAACCCACAGCTGCGTATTTATTTACTTATTTATTAGAAACATAATAATCTCTAAATTTTTGAACAATGTTTTTGTTTTTTTAGGAAGCATTTCAGTTAACCCTTTTTAAATGGGCAGAAGAGCTGGATTCTCTTTCACGAATTCAAGATTTATTTGATTGCTATGAGCATGCCCTGGAATTATATCCTAATGATGAAGTTATATATAACAGTATGGGGGAACATCTTTTCAGGTGTGAAGTTATACTTAATTAGCCATAATTTGACTAAATATTCTAATGCACATAAAGCGTCTGAGTCAAGGAACTTTAGTTTAAATATATTACAAAGTTATTAACTAGATATGCATTCTTAATTCTACATGTGTAAGTATTTACAATCATTTGATCTTGGCAGCTTCTCTTTCGTCTGTTAGCTCA